AGTCAGCCCTGCATCCATCTCAGCTTGGTGGCTGCAGTGTCCCCTTCCAGTGCCTGGGTCATGGAAGGAACACACAGGGGCTAGAATGGGGACGGTAAATGACCAGCACACACAGGCCAAGAATGAATCCTGGTCCCCTTCCCCAACTCCTGGCTCCTTGCCTCCAGCCCCCTGCTCTGCTCAAGCCCCTGGGGACAGCCTCGGAGCCTCAAGGGCCAACATCTGCAGCTCGGCACACATCTCCCCTCCTCAACCAGCTCTCATGAGATCCCTCAGACTAGACAGTGCTTTTTAAAATAACCTTTTTTATTTTGGAATAACAAGATTTACAGAAGTTACAAAGATGGCCCAGGGACCATGCACCCCACACTCAGTTCCCAGTCAAGGGCCCTGACACTGATCAGGACTGAGAAGCAGACAGTGCGCATCCCTGTTAGCTACACTCCAGACTTGATTCAGATTTCCCCAGTTTTTCTTTCTGCCCCAGGATCCAAGCCAAGGTCCCACAGTGCATTTGGCCTGTTAGTTGACTGTCTCTCAGCCTCACCTGGAGCTAGCGTGTCTGAGACCCGCCCATCCTGTTTCCATCTCCTTCCTTTCCGGGTCTACAAGACACCTCAGGCTCGAATTGTATTTTCTCCACCCAGCCCTACACACAGCCATTCCTCCAGGAGCCCTGGTTTATCGGGATTATGTTCACTTTAGAAAGTGCAACATGCGGTTTTGGGAACAGGGGTCACCAGGCATAGTGGCTTTCAAGCTTTCCTGACTGCCCAGCCCTGGTCCCAGGATGCAGCGACACCTGAGACACATGTCTCCCCCAGGTGACTCGCCCTTACTCCTCTCCAAGCACTGATTCCTTCTGTGGTCACTGCTGGTCTCAACTGACCTCTGAGCCCAATGATGGGGGGTCTATTCTGCCCACCATCAGACAAGCCCTGACACAGGCGTCATCTGAGGGCCACACACTGTAACTAAATACACAATTTCATGTCTACTAATCCTTTCCCCCCTCATTCTTCAAATAAACCTATAGATTGAAAAGGTCTAAGTCAAACAAAGGCAAGTTCTAAAATCCAATCTGACCACGTGATCACATCTGACTTCCCTGTGCTACACATCACACTGTCCCCCTAACCCCGCCTCCTTGTCCCTCAGCCTCCCCACCTGCCCTTCACTCTGCCTTGGGGGCCCTCTTTTTCGTCTCTGCCTGAATGACTCCTGTCCCCCTCAAGACTCAGCAGGCACATCACATCCCTCTCCTGGGACACCTCCCTGACTACCTGGCACCTGCCCTGCACTCTGCATATCCCCAGGCAAACGCTGGGTTTCCACTCCCCTTGGGGCCTGAATCTGTCCCCAGCACCCTGCACACCAGAGCAGGTGCTCAGGAAACGTGTTCTGAGTGGGGAGTTTGGTGGCAGGCTGCCACACAACTCCCTCCACCTGTCACACCATCCCCTTCCGCTTACGGGGAGTCCTTGGACCCTCCCTGGGACCCTAAGGGGGCTGGGCAGAGCCCCTGGGACCTGCTGCCCAGCCATGCAGCCTCACTGCTGCTTCTTCCCAGGTGGTCAAGCAGGTGCTGGCCCGGACCAGCAGCGGCAGCTTCTGCGGGAACGACGGCTTCATGTACATGATCCTCACCAGCCTGCCTTTCGGAGGAGTGGGTAGGTGCTAACAGAGCCCTGTGTCCTTACCTTGCTTGATGGATGGCGCCTCAGCACCTCCATCCTGCTCCCTTCTGCAGTCTGGATGGAACCTTCCAGACCTGCCTTTGCACTGACATAAGTATGTGGGGGTCTGTCTGGGAGTGAATCCAATCCTTCTACTCCCAATGAAAACCTCCCAGGGCTCCCAGGCCCCTAGTCCCAGGCCCCTGACACAGCTTCTGGAGGCTGGCCCTTCCTGATCTGGCTGTGGGGTTCTGCTCTAGCCTCCTCTCACGGCTTCCCTGCCTGCTGTCCCAGCTACACTGAGCTCTGCCCTCATCCTAACATGCCACAGGTCAAGCACCTCCAAGGCTCTCTGAATTTTGACCAAGTCTTCCCTACACCCACCTTCTTCATCTCGTCAACTGCACATCCCTCGGGCCTTACTCCAGGAAGCTCTCCCTGATTACCCCCAACTCCACCAGGTTGGGTCCGCTGGACTTCTCAGTGCAGAAACTGCCTCATCCTTGTTGCCTCCCTGCTTAGACACTGAGGATGCATAACAATACAGCGCTTACAGCGTCCATGGGTGTGAACATGTGCCCAATACCCCACAACTCTAGGATTGGGAACCACTGTCGCCCCATGTCACAGAGGAGGAGACCAAAGCAAAGTCACCTGCCCAAGGTGACACAGCTGGTTCAGAGCTGAGATCCAACTCCGGACAGTCATTCCAAAATCCACATTCTTGACCACTGGCTACCTGTCTTACCCTAACACCTGGCACAGCAGCTGGTGTCTCCAATGTTTACTGAGCTGGTGCCTGGCTCAGGGCTAATCCCTTTACCCACAGTCTCTCATGATGAGCGAGCGCAGTTTATAGATGGGGAGGCCAAGACTTGGAAGGGGTAAGGTAGCCCACCCAGGTCGCACTGTGTGATTGGCAGAATCCACATCTGTCTGATGTCACCTCAGCTGACCACCGAGGGCCTGACTGCCATGTTCTGTACCACTATACAGGTGCCAGTGGCATGGGCAGCTACCACGGCAAGTTCTCCTTTGACACCTTCTCCCATCACCGCGCCTGCCTGCTGCGCAGCCCAGGGATGGAGAAGATTTACTCCATTCGCTACCCACCCTACTCGCCACGCAACCTGAGGATGATGCTGGTGGCCATGGAGACCCGTTGCTGCAGCTGTACCCTGCTCTGAGCTCACCTCGAGTAGCAGGGCAACAAGTGTCCCTCCTGGTTATGTCCAAGTCCTCCACTATTACCTGTGGCTGGTGGAGACATGGCCTAGGGTCCAGGGCACAAAGAGGAAAAGATCTGCCAGGGCCACAGCCCAACCTTCCAGTGCTTGCCTTCCTCCCTCCTGGGCTTCCCTCTTCTAACCCTCAGCCTCCTCCCTCAGCTGCCCCCCAACTAGGATGCGCTAATGTGAAGGAGCATTGGAAACCTCAACGCTGGCCAACTGTGTCCTGGGAGAGGGCAGACATGGGCACCTCTGAGCCACCTCCTTCCTGTGGAGGGTGCAGCAGAAGGGGGGCTGACATCTGGTCCAGGCCACATTGGGGACCTGTTGTGACCGGGCCATCCCTGTCCTGAGCTGCTCCCTATCTGTCCAGTGGGGATGACTAACAATCAGTACCTCAGATGGTTCTGAGATTAAACTTGGGAGCTTAATAAATACGAGTTGCTGACTCCAACCTCCAGACATCCTGTCTCCTGGTTTAAGTGGGGTGAGGCTGCCTCCCTCTTCTCTCTCCCCACCTCTCCCTCCAGGTCAGGCCGGGATGCCTGCAGCAGGATCTCCCTTCCCTTCAGCTCAGGCTTCTCGGGAGCTCCGGACACACTCCTGTCCCCCAAATGGCCAGTCCTGGGCGCCTCACCCACACCATGTCCCACGCTGGACTCATCCTAGCCCCTGTCCTGCTCATCCTTCTGGGCCCCAACGCCAGATGGGAATGGTCCCCCATACACTCAGCCACAAAGCCCAACTCACCAGCCTCCTGCTGGACACCCCCTTTCATCTCCTGAGTCCCACCTTCCCGCAAGTCCTGATGATTCTGTATCGCCACGCAACCTCCCTGATCCACACGCTAATCACGGCGCTAGGGGCCATCCACAACCCACGCCCTCCCCCAGCCCAGCCTGCTCCTCAGCCCACCCACTGATCTTCCCAAAACTCACGGGACCGCGCAGCCGACCGCCCGAAACCCCGCAGAGGCTCCCTGCGGCCCACAAATCTGGGCCCGGAACAGTCCTTGGGAAGCTCTGCCGGGCCCTGTGCCCGCACACCCGGCCTGTCCCTGCCTCCTCTATCGCAAGTGACGTGTCCTTCCTGGCAGGGCCTCTGCACCCCCCGGGCGGGCTCGCCCCCTGCCCTTCCCGCCTGCTCAGCTCCCACCCGCGCTCGGCACGAGCGTCACCCGCTCCAGGGCCTCCTCCCACCTCCCCTCCCACGCACGCAGGGGGCCTCAGGGCCCTTCCCAGGGTCCGCGGCCTCAGGCGTCCCTCTGCCCCACAGCTCACTGCGAGGGAACACGTTTGGCGGCAGGTGAGGGACGGGGCTCCCCAGTCACTGAGCTGCAGGACTCGGGCAAAGCTAACACGTCCGTGTCTGTGTCCCGGTCGGTAAAGCGAGACGAGCCACCCTCCCTCCGGGGCTGTTGTGAGGATTACAGAGCGCCGCCCGGGTGAAGTTCAGCGCGCAGTGCGAGCGGCCCCCGCGCCGACCACAGCGCGGAGCGGTTCTCACAGCCAAGAACGACCACAAACGTCCCGCGGCGGCCGACCCTCAGCCGCTTCCTAAACCACGCCCCGGATGTCCCGCCTCCGCTGCCTCAGGCTCCTCTCTTATTGGCTTCTCCAATACAACATGGCGGCGCTGGACCTAACTTCAAGCGCCTGCTCTCCCCCTAGCCAATCGGAGGAAAGGTGTTCCCGCATTCCCGCCTTCTTCGGTTGCGCCACTGGCCAATCAGGCCACAGCAAGAAGCGTCAGCGCGGGGAAGGCGAGGCCCGCCGAGCCAATGGCAGCGCCCTAGGGTGTAGGCTCCGCCTCTCCGCGAGCAGGCCGCTTGCTGGGGAAGGAGCGGCAACGCTTCAAGGTGGGTGTCCGGGGCTCCACTGCTGAGGCCGGGCCTGGGCTGCGCGGCGTCGGGAGCGAGTGCGGGGCCCCTGTTGGTCTCGCTGGCTCTGCGCCCGGGCCTCCTCTCGGCCCGCTTAGGACCCGCGGTCCCTGTGCCCTTGAGCGTGCAGCCGAGAGACCTGGAAGCCGGCGTCCTCAGAGCGCATGCGCCGCCCGCGTCCTTGGGGTCAGAGGTCACGGGGAAGGTCGCGGAAGATGTTGGGCTGGGCGCCTGGCGCTGAAGTCGGTGGTCAAAAGACACGGACCCGTTAGAGGTCACGGGAGGCGCTGTCCTGGGCTCCGGCCGAGTGCCCTGCTCTGGGCTGAACCCTCGGCATGTGGAAGCTCCCTTCGTTCTTATGCTGCCCCCCGTTTCTCTTACGAGAAAACACGCCAGGTGACTCCACCTGCCCAAGGTCACCTGGCCGCCTGAGACAGCTCCAGAAGGGCCTTGATGCTGGGGAAAGGAATTTGATCTTGAGGGTTATTTAAGTCTCTAGAGGGTTTCCAGCTGGGGATGTAAAGGGAGGGGCCCGGCCTGGGTTCGGGCCCTGGTCCCGACCTCCAAGTGTGTGACTTTGGACAAGTCACTTAGCACAGCCGAGCTGCAGCTGCTCATCTGTGCCTCTCTCACGGGGTCCTCCGTTAGGAGAAGATAACAGTGTATGTGGCCCCAGCATAGTGCCTGGTGCCCTGAGCTTGCAGTCCCTGCGGATGGCGGCTGGCAGTGTTGTTCGGGTCAGATTGGGGAGGGTGAACAGGAGGGGAGAGGCGGGAGGCAGGAGCACTGGTCGGGGAGGGAGGACGGGTGGGTTTTAAAGATTTCTTAAAAGATGAGATAGATAGAACTTGGGATCTATCTCAAGCTTAGCTGAGTCAGGTTGGCAGGCTGAGAGGTGCCACACCTGGGGACAGGAAGGACATCTGTGCCTCTGACCGGAATGGGGTTAAGTAGGGGACAAGGTGACACAAGGGTCAGGGCTTCTGCAGAGCCAGAGTTCTGGGGGGCCAGCCTGGGATCCACCACACCTTCCTCCCTTTTCATGCCCACAGATGCACTGCCTGACCACACCCATGCTGCTTCGGGCCCTGGCTCAGGTTGTTCGTGCAGGTAGGACCAAGGGAGCCTTTTTTGGGTATGGGGCAACCCAGCGTCCCAGCCTGAGTCTGCAGCTGCACAGCATAACCCCTTTCTTTGCAGGGCATCCCAGTGCCCGGAGCCTCCACAGCAGTGCAGTGGCAGCCACCTACAGTGAGTCCCAGGGCTCCTGGAGCCACAGGCTTTCCTGATCAGGCCCTGCCAGAGGCAGGGGAGGAGGCCTGGCGTTGCCAGCATCTCCCCTCTATGAGCCCCAGTTTCCACTCTGTAAAATAAGGGTGATGGTCAAGACTGAATGATTCACGGGAACAGTGTTGTTGCAGGGGGTGGGGGGCCTGGCCTATGGCTGCACAGTGTGCTCTCAGAGCTCCCTTGTGTGGGGCGGAGAGGACTGCCAGGTGTGAGCCCTGGGCACCCGTGTCTCTTCATCAGGACCCCCTGCGCCTCAGCCCCTTCCCATACCCCTCAGCTTCTGGGCTCAGGTGCCCACACAGGCACAGGGAGAAGTGAGCGAGGACTGCCCAGGGCCAGAGGCCCAGTTTGGGAAGGTTTGGTGAATGAACAAAGCCCTGGGGCTGTTGCACCTGCCAGAGGGGTGGGGGCCTCATCCCCCTGAGCTGCATTCTTGGGGGGGAAGTGAGGCTCTGAGACCGACCGACTGCTGTGGCCTTTCTGCCTGCTTCCCCTGCAGAGTATGTGAACCTGCAAGAGCCCTCGATGGACATGAAGTCAGTGACTGACCGGGCAGCTCAAACCCTGCTGTGGACTGAGCTCGTTCGAGGTGGGCCCTTGGGGGAGGGCCAGGTGGGTTAGGGTGGGCACCAGTGGTCAGGGATGAGGGGTCTCATCCACCATGCTTATGCTGCCCACAGGACTGGGCATGACCCTGAGCTACCTGTTCCGGGAGCCAGCCACCATAAACTACCCATTTGAGAAGGGCCCACTGAGCCCACGCTTCCGTGGGGAGCACGCACTGCGCCGTTACCCGTCCGGGGAGGAGCGCTGCATCGCCTGCAAGCTTTGCGAGGCTGTCTGTCCTGCCCAGGTGAGCCCCTGACCCCAACTGACCGCCACCTGTCCCTGCCACTGGGAGACAGAGGCCACAGCCTGCTACTGAGAGGGAAGCGAGGCAGCCCTGGACAGAACTCTGGCCCCCACTGGGTGTGTCTCCAGGAAATTCCCTTTCCCTCTCAGCCACTTCCCGCTGTGAATGAGAACCTGGAGGTCTTGTTGCTGGGGCCAACTCAGAGTCAGTGAGTCATCGGGTAGGTTTTTCCCCCCTGTGCAGACCACGTGATGCCAGTGGGTCCTACCCTTGGAGGTCTGGTCAGGGATGTGACATTCAGGCCTGTGAGCCACTGCGTGGCACCCAAGGGTCTCCATTTTCCCCAGACACAGCAGCAGTTTCAGGAGCCCTGCCTTTGTGCCTGCACAGGACCGGACCCAAGGACACACAAACCACAATCGAGGCCCTTGCTGCTCCTGGTTACTGTTCCCTTGAACCCCAGTGTTTGGTTCTTTTGGAGGGTCCCTCATGGACCATCCAAAGTCAGGGCCTGTTAGGTTAGAAACAAAGACACAGTCCTGGTAGACAGACTTGTGGCATCCGCAGCAGGCACAATGATCCCCTCCCAGTGGCAGCTCCAGGACACATGTCCATGACTCAGGACAGCGCCTTTCTGAGTCCTAGCACGTCTCCTGGACCGTTCCCAGGCCCTGCAGGCCACAGTCTATGGCCTTGACGTCTTCAGCCCAGCTACCTAACTGGAGCACATAAGAAAGCCCCAATACAATAACAACAGTGGTGGCTCCTGGGGAGCCAGTGCCCACGGACCAGGCACTGTGCCAGGCTAATGACTAATCTTTAAACAACTCTGGGGAAGCAGAGATTGTTATCCTTGTTTTTAAATGTGTTTTTGTTGATTTTTAGAGAGAGAAACATTAACTGGCTGCCTCCTGCACGTCCCCTACCGGGGATCGAGCCTGCAACCCGGGCATGTGCCCTGACCAGCAATCGAACCTGTGACCTTTGGTGCACGGGATGACAGTCAACCAACTGAGCCACACTGGCCAGGGCTGTCCCCATTTTTATAGATGAGGAAACTGAGGTACAAAGAGATGAAGCTACCAGCCAGAGGTCCAATTGTGAGTGGTGGACACGTGAGGGCCTTTGCCACACTGCCTTTGAAGGTGCCCCTGGCTGTGGGAGGCCATAGGCCACTCATTTCCTCAGCTGGCACAGGCTGTACCCAGGAACTGAGAGTTAAGGACTGGCCTTCGAGCCTTGGCTCTGCCCCTCACTTGCTGTGGGGCTTTGGGAAGCCCCTCAACCTTCTGAGCCTGTTTTCTCGTCCATCAAGTGGGGAAAACTAGACATAAGTGGGAGGAGAACTGAGCACCAGCTACAGGCTGGGACCCCTCAGGGCTCCAGGTGCTGCCAAAACAGAGCCAGTGACAGTCCTCCCCTCATGGGACTTAGAAGGGAGCAGGCATGTTCAGAGGGGGGTGGAAATGAGCAGCGAGGGCTGGACCCTATGCTCGGAGCTGGGTGAGGCCGGCAGGTGACAGTTCCTCGTGCCATTCCCTAGGCCATCACTATCGAGGCTGAGCCACGGGCCGATGGCAGCCGCCGGACCACCCGCTATGACATAGACATGACCAAGTGCATCTACTGCGGCTTTTGCCAGGAGGCCTGCCCTGTGGATGCCATTGTCGAGGTTAGTGGGCCCTGGGGTGGGGGAGGCCGGAGCAGAGGCTCCTTGGAGAGGTCTGACATGGCCATGCCTGCACCCCATCTACAGGGCCCCAACTTTGAGTTCTCCACGGAGACGCATGAGGAGCTGCTGTACAACAAGGAAAAGTTGCTGAACAACGGGGACAAGTGGGAAGCCGAGATCGCCGCCAACATCCAGGCCGACTATCTCTATCGGTGACGCCCCACCCAGCTGGCCCGCAGCCCCTGCTGCCAATAAAGAAGCTCTGACCCCCACCGCCTCTGTCATGAATCTGCTGTCCAAGCCAGGGTCGCTGCAGCCTGACCGCAGCCTGTGGGTTCCACCGGCTGCCTCAGTGGACCCAGCTGAGCTGGCCCAGCCTTCTTATGGGACTCTGGCACCGTCAGGCCCTCCCCAGGGCTGGGCTCCAGCCCACAGCAGCCCTGTCAACCACACATCTTCCCAGGCATTTTCCCCAGGGCTCAGCAGGCTGGCAGTCAGCTCCGGTTCCCAGGATCCTGGGTGTCCACAGGCTGAGGCTGCGTCCTGACCTGCCCTCTCCTGAGGGCCACCCACAACTAAGGCTCTAGAGACATAGAGCCTCGCAAGGCCTCAAGCAGAAGTACGTCAATGACAGAAACTCAGAAAAGCCAGGTCACCCTTGTTGGTTGGGGGAAGCTATCTCTGGGGGTGACAGTCACGAGATGGTGACACAGGCACTGCTGCCCCTGAGCTGGCCTTTCTTCCCCTCTAGCCACATCCCCTTTTCTCCTCGAGTTAGCTTCTGCTCAGGACTTCCTGCTTTGCGACCCCAGCAAAGTGGTCCCCACACCACTTTGCAAGCCCAGTGCCAGTGGAATGGGCAAAATGAGCCCCCTTGAAGTTCATGCTAAGCACTGAAAGGACTTCCATATATTCTCAGTAGTGGGGAAACTGGCTCAGAGAGGTGAAGTGACTTGTTCAGAATCAGCTTATAGCCAATGAAAAAACTAACTCCCGTCCAAGAGTTCTCAGTGCCCCTTCTCCATCATTTCCAAAAGTACATTTTATAAAACACTAATTTCCCAATGGGAAGAAGTGGGAGGGTGTTCTGTGGATCAGAAAGTGTGGGAAATGCCCCAAGTGCCCTCCACTCTGGGACAGACACTGCATGTTAGCACAGTCAAGGCTCTGAGAAGGTCTGCAGCAAAGAAACAGTCTTTCCCCAGCCTTTTCCCAGGAAGCCCCTTTTCCCAGGTCACTGCTGACCCCTGGGCCAGGGTGGACCCCACCACTGGCCACGGCTTTGGGGCCCCCATAGCCCAAGGAATGGCACACAAGTGAGAAGTGCAGGATGCAAAGGGATGCCCAGAGCCCAGGAAGTGTCTGCAAGTCCAGCCCACTACTAGTCCTGGTGGCCAAACACTGCAAACAGGCAGTCACAAGAGGCGAACTTAAAAGTCCCAAATCTATTCTAATTTCCAAGACAACCAGCATTAGTGAATTGGCATGGAGCCTATATTAGTACACACATAACTAGAACACTTGCATAAAATGTTTCAGACTGATCCAGCTCCTGACGTGGTTGTTACTAACAGAGGTATTTTCCTGTGTCAGGACTGAAGCTCTAATGCCGTTTTGGCACTCCATAAGAGTTCCAGTTTCCCTTGCACCCACAGTATTGACCTGAGACCCCCCTCCCCACACACTGCTGCTCAGTTTGTGTTGAGGGTCCCCTCTGGGAACAGCCCTATGATGTTCCAGAACATGTTCCCCCCTTGTCTTGGGTGTTGACCTTGGCTGTGACTCAGTTTCCAGTCCCGGTTCTGGGGTTCCATTTGCTCACCTCCCATACCCCTCCTAGGATGTTGCAGTGTGGGGTTCAAGGATCACCAAAGCTGAGCCGCCCCCCCAAGTGGATACTGTCCTGGCTTGTCCAAAGTGCTGGCAGCTGGGCAGCTGTGAGCCCCAGTTCAGGGGTGCTGGGACAAGACAAACCCCCCTGGAGAGGAATCAGCAAGGTCCCTGGGCCACCCCAGCAGCGGGTGGAGCAACAGCTAAGCGCAGAGCATTAGCCGGCACACACACAACCATGGCCTGACCCTCAGTGTCCTGCTGCCATTGAGGAAAGAGACCCAGAGAGGGCAGCCATCCACCCGGGGCACGGAGCGCGGGGTCTGCCCGGCCCCATCCTGGGTGGTCAAAGGCTGGAGGGTGTACGGACCGGGCGCCACTGAGGCTCACGGAAGGAGGGGGTCCGAGGGGTGGGGCGCGTGCTGGTCTTGGGCCCTACGCGTATCTTGGAGCCCAGGCCTGAGGGTGTTGGGGTCCCATCAGCCACAGGCCCAGGAGCCCTCTAGGTGGTGGGGTCCCACTCTCTAGCCCCCAGAATGCGCCTGGGCCCGGCGCCTCCACCGGCC